TGAGCAGGGATCGACGCTTCTGGTGGTTCGATGCAGAGGATGGAGCTCCGAACCTGTAAGATCCACACACATCGTTCCCCGCTCGAAACTGTAACTGTAAGTATTGAAGTATAACATAGAGGCTAATGAGTTGAATCTAGAATTAGATATATATATATATAGCACTTATCATCTCATTACAAGCTATTTCGGCTTTCATTTGACGTGTGGCGTGGGGGCCAGGCGGGATCATGATCGTTAAGACCTTAGGCTAAGCTAGACCTAGAATCTAGGCCTAGATTTAGATCTAGTTGTTGTAGTCCAGACCTAGAGGTGTTTGTGGTGATGGCTAGCAGGTCAAAAATGGCAATGGGCCCAAGAATCAAGTATGATGTGCTCAAACAGTTTGCTGGGGAGGCGGATGTCGAGGCTTGGTTGCAGAAGGCGGAATTGGTGGCAAAACTGACCCACATTGAAGACGTGGCCAATTTGATCCCATTGTACAGTGGAAGTATCTAGAGATGAGCGAAGAAGAGAAGGGGAGCGTGAAGCTTATCAAGAAGAGCTTGAAGGAAGCGTTTTGCAACAACCAATTTGTTGGTTTCGCAAAACTGCGTGAGACGAGGTGGACCGGGGAACCGGTGGACGTATACGTCAATGAGTTGAGGAGGGTAGGCAGGACTTGTGGGTTCTCAGGAGAGGGGCAGGAGCAGCTGGTGAAATTGGCTTTTGTCACTGGCTTTCCAGACAGCATAGCCTTGGAACTGCAGCAGGTGGTAGGGGTGGAATCGATGAGAGTTGCAAACATTATTGGTAGAGCTAGGGTTCTGGCAGCAAACAATGGGGCAGTAGTGGGTGGGGGGCTTGCAGCCGCAGCGATAGATCCGGCAAGGGGAAAATAAAAAATCTGGGGGGTGGGGGACTATGCAGCACAACACCAGTCAGGTGAAGTGTTTCATTTGTGAGGGGGGTTATTTTGCTAGAGAGTGCCCAGAGAAGTTAAGCAAGAAAAAGTCACTCGTGTGGTACAGGTGTGGTGGGGAAGGGCATATTGCGGTGTACTGTGAGCATGCTGGTAAATGTAGTCATGGGGGAGGAAGCTCGAGGCCTGGGAGTGACTCAGCGTGCATTACAGGAGTAAGAGGGGTCCCTATGATCGTAGTAACCGTGCAAGTGCAAGGTCACAGTCGACGCGCATTGATAGACACAGGGTGTTTGAACACTATGATCAGGGCTGGGTTGGTCAACGGATGGACCGGAGATGCGGTGCAGGCATCAACATTTGATTAGGTAGCGTAAACACAGCCTCGAGGGCATTCGTGGCCTTACGAACGCATGGTATCGGTGAAATCGGGGTAATTCAGATCGGTTTCTTTGCTCTTTCGCTTTAAAAATAAAACACCAAATGGCGTACACCCTGTAAAAGTTCAGCTTTTCCTTGTTACAATGGTGCAAGTTGTTTATATGTCCGATTACTAGATCTAGGAGCTGGAGAATCGCCGAGGAAAGCGAAGCCCCTCGCGGTCGGAATGCGTGGTCGGCCGGTTCAAAAATTGACACGCGTGCATTCAAATGCTTTGTGGAAAGATTTATGACTAAATACCGTCTTTTCATTGGCGGAGAACTGTAGAGCTTTGAACGGGCTTTCCCGCGGTATATTTTTGCCCTTTGGCGTTTAAATAAAAAGCCTTTAAAAATACAGTCAATATTTTCTATGATAATTTTTTACACGAAATATGTAAAATGGCGACTCAAAAAAGGTACTAATAGTAATAGAACGATCAATTCATTTCCTATTAGATTAATAAAGTAATCAGCTTGGAATTATTTTTCATCAATCCTTCCGTGAAACTCAGAAAGCATGTGACCCCCCACGCGGGGTACACTACAGTATAGAGCCGACTCGTTCGCTGCGAGGGCCGGTGCGGCGCCGGCCAGGTCAACGCACGGTGTTTTTGTCGAAATAACGACAGATCATCGTGTTTGAGGCAATAAAATACTCATTTGTAATTGTAATGATCTTACAGTCTTGAAAAAGATTAGGCTCCATATACACGTTATAGTGATTGTACTCTCTTAATGTGGAGATGTTTGGTTCACTTGGTACTCTTTTATTATCTGTCAAACAAGGGGTTGCAGCCAGTAAGTGACTTTAACAAATTTGAACAAATTTTAAACAACTACCATTTTCTTAAAAATTGACTGAGACGTTAAAGAATGGTACCAAAATGCTCAGGGGATATAGGCCTTTCATATGGAACAGACAAATTTGGCATTCAGCTACTTTGAATATTTTCTGGTACCTTATTTGAAGGAAGGGCCGTTGAATGCAAGGGGATGGCGCAAATTGAGATGGAGGTAGATGGCGAAAAAGTCCGTACGATCTCCCAGGAGATCCAAAAGGCCACAAGCTCGTATATCGATGATATACTGGTGGATGTGTCCAGGGTGAACGCCGAGGATGTGATTTCACACTTGGAAGTCATATGGGCTGGAAGCTAATCCCGCAGTGCAGTTGGAGGGTGGGTCGGCACTCAGGTTGAAGTTGACGAGGGACGAGAACGGGTCACTGGTGTTCAGGCGGAACGCAGAGGTACCGAAAGTGGGGAGAAAGCTGAGTAAACGGGAACTGTTCTCAATTTGCGGGAAGTTGGTGGGGCACTACCCAGTAGCCGGATGGGTACACCTGGCTTGCAGCTTTGTGAAACGTCAAGTCGAGGGAACTGGTTGGGATGACTATATTGGGGACAGGGGGCAGTCACTGACTGAGTCAGCGATGGAGGATATTGTGAAGCAAGTGGCACAGCACAACCCTGTGGGAGGAAAGTGGAAAGTGGACCAATCGAAAGAGGGTGTCATATGGTGCGATGCAAGCGAAATCACGATGGGAGTGATAGTAGAAATTGGCGACGTACTGGTGGAGGATGGGGCTTAGATTCGCAAAAGTGGGGATTTTCATCACATTAACGTGGCCGAGCTAGAGACAGCGCTAAAGGGGATCAATTTGGGGGTCAAGTGGGGGCTGCAGAGGATGGTGGTTCTGACAGACTCGGCAACCGTGTGCAGGTGGATCAGGATGACGCTGTCGGAGGAAAGGAGGAGAAGAGACCTTGATCCAACGGCACTGAAGGCCTTGGTTGAGGAACTAGGACTTGCAGTGGACGTCAGGCTTGTGGTGTCAAGGGACAACAAGGCCGATAAATTGACCAGAGTCCCCAGGTCATGGATAAGGACTGGCAGCGAGTGCAACGGCTCGGTTGCATGTGTCTCAGCGTCAGCCATAGTGAAGCAACTACACGATAAGCACCACATGGGCGTTGAGGTCATGATACCTGGCAAAGAAGGTGGATCCGCAGATCACCAAGGAGCAGATGAAGCGGATGGTCTAGAACTGCGAGAGACGTAGTAGGATAGACCCAGCTCCTGGAGTCCACGATGTTGGGGAATTGGGGATTTGCGGGATCTGGGAGCAGCTGGCGATTGACATTACGCACTATCGGGGTATCCCATTCCTGACCATGGTGGATTGTGGACCTGGTCGATTTGTGAAACTGCTCAACACATCATTGACGAGTTGAGGCAAGTGTTCCACGAGAGGGGGCCGGTAGGGAAGGTTCTGCTCGATAAGGCCACGGCATTTAGGTCAGAGCAATTCATGGGGTTCCTGCGGGACTGGAACGTGAACGCCATGTTCAGGGCAGCGTATAGGCCTAGTGGAAACGGGATAGTCGAGCGAAATCATCGCACTATCAAGGCTATGGCAGAGCAGTGTATTACTACAATTGCTCTCTCAGGCGTGAGCAGCACGAAGACTCGATCCCGCACAAGTCGGTTATGACATATGAGAGGAGGCAGCCTGATGAAGCACCCGTAGAACCAGAGTGTGGACACTCAGTCCCAACGGCCTCGTTTAGTGTTGGCAAGGAAGTCTGGGTCAAGCCGGGTAATGCAAAACGCACATCAGAGTTGGGCCGCGGGCTTGTCAGGAAGGTGAAATCTGCGAACAATGTAGAGGTTGTTTATATGGCGTGGCATGTCTTAGACCTTAGGGGTGAGAGGGAAACCGCAGAAACTGAAAATGGCGCTTCAAACGAGGGTAAGCGAGGTGGTGAACCAGAAGAACGCCAAGAGATTGACAGGCGTATCCTGCAACGGGCAAGGAGGGCCCCATTGTGGCAGGACGATTATGTCCTGGGATAACCGTAACGCGGAGGGGGGAATGGGGAATGGGGGAAGAGAGATTGGTTCGGGACGGGGCGTCAGGACTTTCTTGAATATCCTCCCCATGTTTTGCGTTTAGTATTATCATGGTGGGTTAACCGGGGTTGTCTTCCCCACGTTTTGCGTTCATGATTGTTATGATGGATTAAACTGGGGTGACTTGTGTATTCTCTTTATGTGGGGTGTCGGTTTTCATTGCATGGATCAATGAGATCAAGGGGGCGAGTGGTCTAATTCACTGCGATTACCTGGCAAGCCACAAGCATGTGAAATGAGTGAACAAACTCAGTGTAGCCTAGTGAGTGTAGGAAAATAATGGCGCACGAGGGGTATATAAACAGACGGGAAATTTGAAGAAGCCTTCTGAGCCGCGACTTAAATCTAGGCTGAGCAGGGATCGACGCTACTGGTGGGTCGACGCAGTGGATGGAGCTCCAGACCTGTAAGACCCACACACATCGTTCCCTGCTCGAAACTGTAAGTATTGAACATAACGTAGATAGCTAACGAGTAGAATCTAGGATTAAATATAGCACTTATCATCTCATTACACTTTTCAATCGTAAATATTATTGCACTCATGAAAGCTTCTCTGAATAAGAGTTGGTTGATGTAATGAACTTGATATGCAATGTCTGCTTTGCGACATAATTCTTTCCAATCAAGAGATAGGAAAAACGAAATAAAAGTACTTTACTAAAGAAACCAAACGGATAAAAAAACCACCATGATCCCTGAAACAAAAACTAAACAATTGTCAATTATTCCACTGGAAAGAGGAGAACAAATTTGTTCCAAACCTAAATCTGTGCAGTCGATGATGTGAGTGCCATTGTACATAGTGGCTGTTAGGATGAAATCTCCTTGAAAAGGATCCCACTTGATCCTCCACACACCTCCGCCAAGTGCTGCATATGACAGGGGCTTCTTAAGTTGCCGGTCATCCCAAATAATAAGCTCTTCATCGTAACTGAAATAAAAAAAATTATGTTATAATAATAATAACAGATAGTATTTGTATAGCGCAAATCCCCGCTCAACAGCAAGTTCTACTCAATGCATTTCACAATCTATACTTTCATGCATAATGAATGTTTTCTCAAAATTTCATATTCAGATCCAGGTGCTATTGTTTGAACTTAAAGCTAAAGTGCTATGACTTTTTAAAGTAGACTATGCTCCATATGCACCTCTACAAAAAATTTAGGCCACAGTGGACTGTGGCCTAAATAAGGTAAGGGAGGGGGGTTTAGCTTATTTAGGCCACACATGCTCAAACTACCCTTTTCAGGCAACTGAGTTCATTCCACTTTCATAATGGTGCACCTTTCTCATTTAGTATGGTTTTGCCTCAGTATACAACTTATAAATCATAACCATAATGAATATTGTAAAGAACAAAGCACAATACGCAAAATTTTGCTCAATTCCAATGGTTTGAATGAGGGCCGGATTTTTCCTTCATGGAGGGGCAAAAGCTAGGCTACCATTTTGGCACACTTTGGTCAAGTGAAAAGGTCAAATCCTCCGAATGGACTTCCAGGTTAAATTTGGGGTATAAAAAGTGTGTATACTACGTGGCTGAGTCAAAGTTACACTATCTTTGCCTGAGTGACACTCTCTCGTACTGTCTCGTAGTAGTACATGTAGGCTAGTAGGCCTAGTAGTAGTAGTAGCAAAGATCGTGTAGAGAATATTTGGTAGTAGATTCTATCTAGTAGGCAGTTTAGTGAACGTGCTCGCGGCAGGGCGAATCGGCCTCGATAAGCCCCGTAGACTTTTGTGATCGGCCACGAAGCCTCGTGTTTTGATGGGTCTAGATCTAGATCTAGATATAAACAACTCAGTGCTATTCGCACTGCCACATCCGACAGGCCTAGATCTACATCTTTTTAAAAGGAAAAGAAAGATCATCAAAATGGTTGAATTCGCATGAAAATCGATTACGTAAAACTAGAACTATTAAAACTTGCTTCTGAAAACAAGGCAATTTTTATACGAAGGTCATTTTTATAACTCGATTAAATAAAAACTACTGACTGTGTACTGTGTTATTCTGTATAAAAATAAATTATGAAACTTCAGGACGTAGATCTATTATTATTATTTTCCAGCATCTTTTGACGCCTGAGCTGTAGAGGTTGAAGTTTTCACAACACTAATAGATCTAGTAATAGGGTTAGGTAATACGGCTTTCCGTAAAAAATGCATAGATCTACAAAAGCCGACCACCGAATCGACCGGGCGCCTCGGTCTCCCCTGCACTCTGATTCAATTTTTTTTTTTTTATGCTAATCAATGAAAATTGCAAATTGATAATAATAGTATAGTCCTGTAGAGGATAGGTGGACTCCGGGGTCTGCATAGTGAAATACTAGGTTTTAGGATGTGGACCCCGGAGTCACCGTAGTGAAATAAGGTTTGGTTTAAGTAAGGATTGGTACTAGGTTTTAGGACAGGTGGACCCTGGGGTCACCGCAGTGAAATAAATAGGTTTCTTTAAAGATTGGTGGAACCCGGAGTCACCATAGCCATAAAGGATTAAGAAGGTTTAATCAAGGATTGGTGGACCCCCGGGACACCTTGACTAAACCTACTTATTTTACTACGGTGACCGCAGGATCCACCTATTCTAAAACCTAACTAGTGTTTCGTTAGGTAGACCCTGGGGTCCACCTTAAACCTACCTATTTCACTACGTTGACTCCAGGGTCCACCAATCCTTAAAATTAAACCTAGATCTATCTACATGTACTTATTTCACTACATTGACCCCAGGGTCCACCAATCCTTAATTAAACCTAGATCTACTGATTTCACTACATTGACCCCGTGGTCCTCCAATCCTTAATTAAACCTATATCTACTTATAATTTCACTACTTTGACCACGGGCTCCGCCAGTCCTATTATAAAATAAACTTAGATCTACTTATTTCATTATGTTGACCCGGCCGGGGTCCACCGATCCTTAGTTAAACCTAGATCTACTTATTTCACTACGCTGACTCCGGGGTTCACATCCTAAAACCTAACATTTTGTTAGGTAGACCGCGGGGTCCACCTATCCTTTTGGCTAGATAGACCCCGTAGTCCGCCTATCCACTTTCTTGATAATAACTGAAAACAATACATGCCAGTTGTCATTTATAGTGAAGAAAAATGAGGGGAAAAAAATATAATTAGGTAGACTTTAATTTGTCCAAAAAATTGCAAGTGCAAGTGAAGGTCATAAAATAATTTTGTTATTTTCTGGTCACCTTTCCAAGGACCTTAAATTGATTCTACATCACATGTCATGTACTATACGGCTGTGAAGGAAAATGAATGTGAAGAGTTTTAAAGAAATAATAATGTAACTTGTAAAGAAAACAATGCTTTACATTGGTTTGGTTATTTTGACTACATATGTGGCCTAAATGAGGTAAGGGAGGGGGGTTTAGCTTATTTAGGCCACAGGTGTGGCCTAAATAAGGTAAGGGAGGGGGGTTTAGCTTATTCAGGCCACAGGTGTGGCCTAAATAAGGTAAGGGAGGGGGGTTTAGCTTATTTAGGCCACCTGTGGCCCAAATAAGGTAAGGGAGGGGGGTTTAGCTTATTTAGGCCATATGTGGCCTAAATAAGGTCACCCTAAATAAAATAGCGTTCTCCAATCAATAGCAAACCAGATAAGAGCAGTTTTCAACTAACACAGCAACCTATGCTTGTGTAACAGGTAACAAAATTTTCCTTTAAATAACCCACTTTAACCCTATCCGTAAGCCCTTGGGTCATTTTGTACCCCAGAGGTTGTATTCTTCACATTTTAGAATACTTCTAGTACGAAGATCTCTTTGAAACTTTCAGTATTTCTCAAAAAATCATTTTGACAGACTGCAATGCAAAGCGTACAGATCGGATTAATGAGTAAATTTCCTCTATGGAAAGTGGTTGCACAGAGTTCCCCATGTGTATGGATACGATAGTAAAACACGACGTACGGATAGGGTTAACAGCAACCTTTTCCTCTAACTCTAATAGTTACCTCTTAAGATTTTAACACAAATTGTCCTACAATTTTTACCGAAAATTGAAAAATTATTATTTATAGTGAACAATGAGTATGGTCCATAATTTCAGGGCATCCCTCCTCTCGTTTATCTCCTCATAACACCTGCTCAGGTTAAAAATACACTGTTGAGCCAGAGTGCAGGATTTCCCACCCTCTCACCAAGAGCAACCTTCCTTGAAGTTAAAGAGTGAAAAATCTCTATCGCATCGACTCACTTGAAAGCTGACACTGCCTTTAATTACAGTGGAGTCCACTTATAACGAGTCCTGAAATAACGAGAAGTCTGTTATAAAGACACTATTCTAAAACCCTGTTTTATTCCCTTCTTTATCTTTGTTTTTTATATATAATACTGCTATTGCGCAATCAGTCACCCGAGTCGGTTATAACGGAATATTGCTGCTGCGGTGCACTCGCCAGTTGAGAAAGTTGTTGGTGATCCAGCGAAACAAAGAATGGGAGAGCCCAAGCGAACCAACAATGAAAGCCGGAGCGAATGAGTGGGGAGGGTGTGGCATGTGCAGACAAGCAGAACGCATCGCCTGATAGGCCAGCCCACTCTAGATTATCTAGGCATACCGTGCCTCTCACTTTTCTGGTGCGGGATGGAGAGGTCACAATGCTGTGATAGATGGAGTGAATGTGTGGCGTGCGCAAGCAGACGCAACACACCACAGAGTGTGGTGGGGTGGGGAACAACATAGCGGGCAAGTCAGCCTTGAGCCAGAGCCCCTTCTTTCTGATCACCAATGCCGAGCTGTCAACATTGCTAGTGCTAGAGAAAGAAACCTGATTCGATTTTTGATCAATTAAGACCTAGAGATTATGTTGAACAAAATCATCATCAGGAGAAATAGAAAAAGGAATAAACAGAACACTAAACTCATAGATTAGGCCTACTTTACCATTTCTCTTGAATTTATTACTGGATCCCTTATAACGAGAACCCTGCTATAACGGACATTTCGCACAGGTCCCCTCCCTCTCGTTATAACAGGATTCCACTGTAGTATGTTGTCGCTTTCCAATGTAACAACATCACCACGTCCTGGGAGTAGTACTATGTGTGCTTGTTTGTGTATGTAATATCATGTGTGTGTGTGAGAGCGCACAACAACTGTCTTTGAAAGGTTTCTAAACAGCTAGCTACATCGTCACCAAGGCTTGCCCCCCAACGGGGTGCTTGTTAGGCAGACACCACTGTAAGAAATGTCCAGTGGAAAATGATTTTAAAAAAGGTCAAGTTTTTTTAAAATACATAAATAATGTGAAAGTGTCCACCTTTCTTATATGGATTTTCTCAGTCATAGCCACTCAGCGTGCTGCAATATCGTCATAATGGCCCAAGTAATTTACAATTTTTAAAAAAAAGTATTTCATGTCCATCCCAAACCTTGGCCATTGTGATTTCTTTTTCATACTAATCATACTGATGAAAGTTTGTCGGTTCATTTATTTTTATTAAACCGTCTTATTTTTCACTTTCATGACATGGTGAAGGGTAACCTTATACATGTAGGCTACATGTAACCCCAAAAAACACTTCATTTTTATCTCTAAGCAGTGTACATTGTATCCTCAATAGAACAAGCCAATCCTATGTCCAGAACACACAGCCGATCAAATTCATTTCAATTAGTCGAGGCCAGATTTTCCTTCAAGGAAGGGAAAAAGCTACCATTTTGGCACAATTCCACCTAGGTAAACGGACCATGAAAAAAAATGTGTTTGTTTTTTTAAGGTTGCAAGTTGAACCTGTTGCAGCCATAGGATATTAACAGCCAATTGCAAAGCTTGAAGCTACTGGGCACCAAGTACAGAAGTCTCTGCCTAAACGAATGGTACTCAGGAGGGCGCTTAAGCGTGCATTTACATGAACCTGGTTCGGAAACACTCTATACAGTAGCGACGAAATGCAGTTAATACTAATAAAAATCTCTTCATTCTTTGCCACATCGACAAGCCGAGAGGCTAGAACTCAATAGCCACTGGATCGGAGAGGAAAAATAAAAAAAGTAATGTAGGTAGACCTGGGCACAGAGGAGAAAGGACGAAACCATTTAATCTCCTAGATATTTTAAGAATCATTGTTATATTTGGTGAGACTGCCTCTAATGCCGAACAAAGAGAGCGATGGACAACGTTTTCACACACAGGTCTAGGACTGGTCGGTGAAATGTTGGGG